TCTTGGGGGCTTTTACCCCATGTGAAACCTTCCTAGAGAAACTTCAGATGAGACCCAGTTGACCAACACCAGCTCTTACAGAGCGGCCTCTGAGGACGGCTTGGTGCGGACTCGCCTGGCTTGTTTCTGTGTTCTATTTTCTATATGTCGACATGTTTTCCTAATTCTATACCCACGCTGGGTCGTGCTTTAACTTAGCTGAAAACAGGAAAGTTGGCCCTCCTTTGCCTCGGTCATAATTGATAGTATTTTTTTGTCTTAATGGCACACAAAATAAAGGGGCATCTTAAAGTTTTGTTAAATACCATAGAAAAGTTATATAACATGGCTTCCTCGGGGAGGGATAATAAATGCCTACAACCTCTGTAACCTGCTTGCAATATTCCACATCTTGGGGTTCTACCCTGTTAGCCTTGTCTTACTGGCTGTATAATATTTCTTAAAATGATTAACACACACACACACACACACACACACACACACAAGTGTCATCCAGGGGCACCAAGGCTGTATCTTATTGTTTCTTATATGGCACAGTAACTTCTCAGGAGTCTCACGTGGAAAACACTAGAAGTAGAATTATATAAAATAATTCTTGGTCTTAGTTTTCAACAGATATTCCAGACAGCCAGCCTGAAGCGCAGGCCTCTGGCCCGGGGACCCGCCCCCCTCCCTCTGCCGCCCTCCCTCCACCCTTCCCGCCTGCAGCCCAGCTGTGTGTAACTCACACCCAGCATTCCCTCCCAGCCCAGACAGCCTCTTAACTCCACGACATGTCCCCGGTCCCTTGTCTGTTTCTGTCCCCCACCACTTCCACTCTGGAGCTGCACCCAGCACCGTGGGAGGGCTGATTTCAATTTTCCATGCTACTGCATCAGCCCAGCACCCGCAAGACTAGAAACCCAGACTGGTAATTCCTAACTTCCTGCTCAGAGGCCAGCCAGGCCAGCCTGCTGACCTGGGTCCAGCTTCAGCCACGGGCGCACTGTGCTGGGCCAAGCGTTTGACCCCTCTGGTCCAATCCAACCAGCCTGGTCATCCTCATGGGTTCTCGGCAGGTGCAGCTGAGGAGGGACCTGGAAAGACCAGGGCGCCCCTGAGAAGCACTTTGGGCCACACTGTCCACGAATGCCAGCCTCCTGGGGGTGCCTGGAACCCACCGGCTCAGCCCTGCCTCCGCCCTGCCTCCGGGATGTCCCTGCCAGCCATCTTTGTAATGCCCATCTCTGCTCCTTGTGGGAAGGAGGCAGTGTGAGGTAGCAGGACTCTGAACCCAGAATAAAGCAGGCACGAAGCTCCTCTTCGGGGCTGCCAAGGCCTCCGGTCTTAATGTACACAGAAGCGTAGCATTGCTCTAACAAGGTAGAAGCAAACAGTGTTCAAATCCCAGATCTGCCAGTTTTGCTGTGCAAACTTAGGTAACTGATCTAACTGATCTGTGTCTCGGTTTCCTCACCAGCAAAGTTGGGGATGATAAGGGTACTGCCTGTTGCAAAGATTAAACGAGCTGATGGACACATGAGAGAGCTCAGAGCCATGTTTGACAAACAGCCACGGGTCCCATGTTCTGTTCAGCCAGCCAGCCCAGTGCTGGGGGGGTGGGGGTGGGGGTAAATAACTCAGTAAATAAATGAGTCTGGTGGGTCTGTGATCACTAGCTCCATTTTACAGATGAAAACCTTGAGGTTCAGAGAGGCAACATGATTCCAAGCAGAAAGACGCAATAATTGAGCTCCTACTGTGTGCATCCTGGGGTGCTTTGCATGTGTGATCTCATTTCTACCCAGAAAAGCCTTTTTATGGAACCAGCTGACCCATAAGAAGTCACAGGGCTGGCTGAGTGGAGGGCAGGGGACCCCAGGCCCCATCCCTCATCAGCTATAGGCTGGTCCATCCCTGTGGTTACAGGTGGGCACTGCCTCAGCCTGGCCAATCAGCACACCCCATCCTCTTGGCTACAGTGATTGGCTCAGCACCAAGCATGTGACCCACCTGCTCCAATGAAAGGCTGGCTGGAAGTGTGCGAAGTTGCTGAGACGTGGCTCATCTCTTCCTGCGGGGCTGCTGAGGCCCCCGGGGCTGAAGAGAGCCAGCCCACAGAGGCAAGGGGAGAGGGGTTGGATGGTGGTGGGCTCAGCCTTTCCCTTGCCTGGGCTCCTAGCTCCTCTTCTTTAAACTAGTGACCTTGAGTTTCTGTCCCCTGCTGGCTGGGGAGCCTGGCTCTGCTCCACACACCGTGCTGAGCTGGAAGAAATCTCAGCCACCCCAAATCCTCTGGTCCCTGGCCAAGGAGCCAAACCCATGGCTCCCCAGAGCTCTCCGGAACCCCGAGCAAGGGGGATCCTGCTGACAGGGAACCGTCCCTTGGAAACCCGGCTCTGCCACCTGACAGAAATCGCTGAGCGCGTGGGGCACACTGTCCGTGACCCTGATGTTGCTGCTCAGCTTCCCGCACCACCAGGTCCGACAGAGTCAGGGAGGCCAGGCGGGTTTGCCCAGCAGCTCTCTGTCGGCCTGCTTGGGTTCTTGGAGGAAGGAGATCAAGGTTTGTTCCCATACACCCCCCCCCCAGGATTGCCCAGGAGGTGACGCAGAGCAGTGACGCTCAGCGCTTGGCCTCTCTGGCCTCCGCAGCAGCTCCTTGAAGGAGCCTTTATGTAAAAGCCTTCACATAATGAAAGAACTTGGAGCAAACTCAAAACGCATTGAGGGAAGAAGAGATTCCGGGGGGAAAAGCTCTCTCTGGGGGTGATTTTCAATGAACTTGCGGTCTGAAGGGGCAGCTTGCCCTCCTTCTTGGAGGAGACACGGCAATAACAGCAGTGCTGCTCGTGGCCACAGGTGGAGGCCGCGCACTGCCCTAGGTCTTTAAAGGTGCTCTCCAGTGCCATCCTCACGGAAGCCTCAGGAGGGAGATCGACAGTGGCCTTCATTTTGCCCGTGAGGGAGCTGGGGCTCAGGGGTGTCGGGACATTCAAGGCCAGCTGGCTAGCTGGTGGTGACGCCCAGATGATGAGACCTACATCTGAGGGCGAATGGACGTGGAGCCTCTCCATGTGACTTCTGCCTGTGTCTCAGAATCCTGGAATGAGCAGGCTTGTTGCATTTCCAAGTTTGAAAAGGAAGCCAGCCCCGTGCCAAGGACAGCTAGCCATGCAACCTACCCCTCCCTGGGACATGGTGGCTACATGACAGCACCCAGCCTGCCAGAGGGTCAGCACTCCATGGTGTGACTGCAGCTAAGAGAGAACTGACACCTACTGAGCTCTTGGCCTGTGTCCGTCACCTCACTCCTTCGTGTGACCTGGCGCTCCCAGTGCAACCCCAGCACCACACAAGGTCCTGGTGATGTTCATCTTTTCATGCATTTTCGTTCTTATGGAATCCTGACCACACCCCTCAGGGTTTTGATGGCTCATTTTGATCAAGATGGAAAATGAGGCTCAGAGAGGTTATTAAGACACCGATTTCAGGGCCAGTCAGGCTCCTGTGAGGGTCCGAGCCGGATGAACCCTCATCTCCCTTACGTCAAATACAGGAATTCTTGATGATGCTAGAAATCGTGCCCCAAGAACACCCAGAGTTCCACCCCATGCATCTGGATCGCAAGAGAAGTGCATGGTGTCTCCACCTGTCCTCTATCTTCCACAGCCCAGGCATCCGGGAGGTGTCCCCTCCAAGGGGCCTTACACAGAGGGGTGCTGGGGGTCACACAGATCTCACAAGAGCCAGTTCTGGGAACTTTTTTAGCCAGGTACTGCTTGCTGTGTTGCAGCCTGAAATTCACCACAGGTGAAGTATTTATGCCACAGTAATTGGCAAATGCTGCAATCCAGGGGCTTTTCAAAAATTATTATTTCCCGGAGAGCCAGTTGTTAAATAGTTCTTATGCGTGTTCAGCAAACTCATGACCACACTATGCCAGGTCCTGGGTTAAGTGTCAAGAATGCACAACTAGACTCCATCCCTGACCTCAGGGGTCCACGGTCTACTGAGGGAGGCAGATTCTATCTGAAAAATGCCACACACCTGTGCTATGGGTAGGAGTCAGCTGGCAGGGCGGGAGCAGGGAGACTCCGGGTGCAGGGGACAATGCATTCCAACTTTTGTGACAGGGAAGGGTGGCATGCTCCAGGAAGTGGCCCAAGGCCACTGTGGCTGAAGAGGGACCCTGCCCGGCTTCTTTATTTTGAGTCCCATCCTCAAGCCTCAGTAGCTGTACCTGAGGCTCTCCACGCTGTTCAGGGTCTGGGGGTCCCCGTCCTCCTTTCCTCATCAGATCCTGTCCAGGCCGCCTCCCTTGGCCTCGATTCCTCACTGGAACCGTGAACACGTAAGTGGAGCTAATGACATCATAGGCGGGTGCAGGAACCAGAGAGAGACAGAGGGGAGGTCCTGAAGCGCCTGCTGGTCCCAAGCCTCCTTCATGGAGCGGAGCTTGCTCTCCTCCTTTGCCAGTCTGGCCCCCTACTGAGCGCCATGCATGGGCTTCGCACTGGAGAGCCAGCCACCAAAGGCAGACAGGATGGCCCGGGGGAGGGCTGCTGCTGACTCCTCATCAGGTGCTGAGCACCCCACCACGGCCAGGCCAGCCCCGGCTCTGGGATAAGAACTCTCCGTCCACGTTCGGCTCCCAGGCTGGTTTAGGTGCCTGCTTGGGCTTCCCATGCCCCTTCACGCTGCTAGCCATTCCAAAAGAAAACTACATCGCCACCTCTCTCTTCCCAGCTAGTCCTGAGCGCCTGTAGCACATGGACTGAATCTTAACCCTCCATCAGCAAGGTGCCAGGCACACAGAATCCACCAGTCAGTGTTGACGACTGAACCCTAAGCACACATTGCAGACAGAGCGGCAGAGTCCAGCTTCCTGGTCTTAACCTACTCCCTTCTCAAGCCACCCCAGCTGCCAGCTCTGCAGTCCCACTGTTTGCAGAAAGGCTCCAGAGCTGAGCTTGGGCAGGGGCTGCTCCCCCTCCAACCTACCTCCCCACGGTACTCACTGAGAAGTTGCTTGCTGGAGTCGCTGACTGTCACATTCTCCTGCCAGAAGGGGTTCATCAGCGGGGTGCACGAGCTCTGCACTGGATGGGACACAGGAATCAGTGACCAAGCTGACCAGCCCAGGGCTTGGTCCCTGCAGTCGCCCTGGATGCTCCCCCGGGAGGGCAGGAGGAGGGCTGGGGCAGCTCCAGCAAGAATTTCGAGCCCGGGCCCTTGACCCACCTTCCCCGGCTCCCTTAGACCTTGCCTTCGGGGGCTGGGGCTGGAGCAGGGGTTCGCGCTCAACAACAGATCCCAGTGAGCCGGGGCCCTCGCAGGGGGCGTTTGCGACCACCGCCCGGGGCCCTGGTGCGCCTTACCCCGGCAAGTCCGCCAGAGCCCGGAGTGCGAGCTCAGAGACTCGGGCTGGCTGCGGTTGGCTGTCCCCAGCGGGTCCTGCGCGCCGGGGCCGCTTCTCTCCAGCCGCTCGGTGTCAATGATGTACCAGAAGTCGGTGCCGATGGCGGCCGCCAGCAGCACGAAGCTGAGCGCCCCGGTGAGCGCCGCCGAGCCGGCCAGCGCGCCCAGGCGCACCCGCATCGCCAGCTCCGACCCCACCGCGTCCCTGCGGCCCCTCTGCGCTGCCAGCGCCCGCCGCCCGCCGCGAGCTCCCGGCTCCAGCCCACCCTCCCCGCCGGACCCGAGCCCGACCGCGACCCGGACCCGGCTCCGCCCTCGCACCCTCACCTGCCGCCAGGCTCACACCTGCTCCGCCCTCGGACGCCCCCTCGCCGGGGCTCAGACCCCCGGCCCCTGCTCCGCGGGCTCGTCCCTCCCCACCTCCACCTGCCGGCCTCCGCGCTCCGATCTCGGATCCCCAGCGCCTCACTTTCCCCCCCGGACCGCGCGCCCTCCGCTCGGCCGCCCTCCGCTCCGCCCGCCCCAGGCCTCCCGTCCCCGCCGCCTCGCTCCCCGCTTCCAACCCTTTACTCCAGGGAGTTTCCCGCCCACCCCGCTCGGAGCTCTGGCTCCGCCCGAGGACCGAGCGGAGGCCACGCCGCCTGGACGTGGGCGGTGCCCCGCAGGCACCACGGGGATCGTGGGAGGGAGCGGGAAGGGGCGCGCGGGCCCCAGGGTCCCGCCAGGGTTTGCAGACGCTCTGCAAGGGCGCCCCCCTCCAGCTCCAACTACCCTGCTTCCAAAACCCACCTGGAGCGGTCTCTCCGGGCTGCTAAGAGGGAAAGGCAGGTTCGTGTTTTATAAAAGTTCAATGAAGCAACAGGGTAGCCCCGATTCTCTAAATCTGTCGTCTCTGCCGCCAAAGTCTCTTCATTATCATAGCCACCACCACCACCATCTCCATCACCACCACGACCACCACCACCATCACTAACCATCACCACCACCATCTCCATCACCACCACGACCACCATCACTAACCATCACCATCACCACCACGACCACCACCACCATCACCATCACCACCATCACTAAACCATCACCACCACCATCTCCATCACCACCACCACCACCATCACTAACCATCACCACCACCACCACCACCACCATCACTAAACCACCACTATCTCCATCACCACCACCACCATCACTAACCATCACCACCACCATCTCCATCACCACCACCACCACCACCATCACTAAACCACCACTATCTCCATCACCACCACCAACATCACTAACCATCACCACCACCATCTCCATCACCACCACGACCACCACCACCATCACTAAACGTCACCACCACAGGACACCTCCACCTCCCAGCTACCACCGTCCCAGCCCTCACTACCCCCCATCATCACCATCTCCTCAGTACCACCATGGCCATTCTCTTCTTATCAACCCTAATGTCCCTATCATTCCACCATCTTCTTCACCAGCATAAAACCTTCATTCCTTTAAGGAATACTTCTTGAGCCTTCTAGCGCCTGACACTGGGGCTCATGTTAAGAATGTAGCCCTGAACAACCCCCACCCCCGGCAAGGCCTGTCCTGACAAGTGTTTGGTGCAGCTGCCCCGCCTTTTTCAAGGCAAGGCTCACAGAGAAAATTCTCATACTTGCGTGGCACAGAGGGGTGAAAGAGGAGGATTCCAGAGGCCAGGAGTTGGCCAGCCTCAGGGGCTGCAGTGAAGCCCCTTGAAGGCTGCCCTTTTGACTGGGAGGTCAGAGTCTTGGCCTATCGTGACATTTTTTCCTCCCCACTACTGGGAACTGAGCCCGCGGGCACTCTGCCACTGAACTCTTCCCCAGCCCTTTTCATTTTTTGTTCTGAGACACGATCTTACTAAGTGGCTGGGGCTGGTTTTGAACTCGGGATCCTCCTGCCTCAGCCTCCCCAGTCGCTGGGATTACAGGTGTGCACCACTGACCAGATACTGCATGACACATTCTTAAGGAACCGTCATTAGAAGATCCAAAAGTTGCTGAGCTCTGCTTGGGTCGGGGAGAGAATCCCTAAGCAAACGTGGAGCTGTCTGAGCACCCAGGGGAAGGGACAGAGGGAGGCTCAGCTGGCCGCTCTGTGGAAGTGACCTGGATGCTGAGGCTGAAGGACATACCTTCTGAGAGGAGGGAAACCAGGCTAGGGCATGGAGTGGGGGGCGGGGTGAGTAGAGGAACAGACCCGGACTCCAGGACGGAGTTTGGATTTCAGCGCAAACCACTAAATGGACTTGAGCAGGGAACTGAAATGCTCCTACTCGCGTTTTTTAAAAACCTCCATCCCTCTGGGGGCTCACTGTGCAGCACAGAATGGAGGGAAACGAGGGAAGCCAGAGGCCGGTGATCACGGTCAGGGGCTTGGGCTGGGGTGGTGGCGTGCCCAGCCAGGGGAGGTGAAAGGTTTTCTTTAACTGCGGGAGTGGCGTTGACGGGATGGGGTGGTGGACTGCAGGGAGGACTCTCCTGCCTGTCGCTGGACTCTTCCAACACCATCACGTCTTCCTCCTTGTTACTCATCCTCATCATGGAGTGGGTGTCAGCAAGGGACAGAACTGTCACCAGCAAGATCACAGCCCGCTGATTCTGCACACCACATGCTCCGTCACCCCTTGACCAGTATCCTGCAGGAGATGGGCAGTTCCCTGGCAGCTGCTACTCACTCACTGCTTTTCTTCCACCTTCTCACTGTGACCTCGACCTCCATTCGCAGCACCGCCTAAGCCACGCCCACGCCACGCCCACGCCGACAGCTCCGCAGATGGAGGTGAAACTCACCTGGGGCCTGCTGCTGCCTGAGCATCCCTCTCTCTCCTCTCTCTCTCTCTCTCTCTGCTCGCTGTTGATCTCCTCTTGCTTGACTTCATTCTTGGAGCTCACTGTCTCGGAGCCAGAGATGCTACTTTGCACAGTCTGCCAAGTTCCACAGAAAGAACTTTTTCTCCATGGTGCCAGCCAGACTTCCAGAAATAAAGCTCACGGACCTGTCTTTGGCCATGTGCTCATCTCTGAACCCGTCTCTATGGTTCAGAAGAATAGAATGTGCAGAAATTGACCGAACCTGGGTCGCGGGCTGGTCCTAGAGCCAGAGTAGGACGAGGCACTCCTGCCCTAACCCTCTGAGCTAAGTGGTGTCATGGCTGACAGATGGAGCAAGTAAGATCACCCGATGCCCAGCCATATTAGAATTTCAGATAAATAATGGATCATTTTTAGCGTAAGTATGTCCCATGTGATATTTGAGATATACTTACCCTAAAAAAATGTTTGCACTGTTTCTCTGAAGTTCATATTTAACTGGGTATTCTGTATTTTATCTGGCAAACCTAGTTGGCTCCATAAAGGAAGATCAAGGTGCCTTTGCCAAAGCCACGCGAATGGACAATGGTAGGCAGAGCCAGGAGACACCCCTACACCCAGCACGGGCACATCAGTCACTGGGTCCTCGTTCCTCACCAGAAGAGATTCCTCGCCTACCTAAGGGTCCTCATTGCAGCTCCTGTGCGAAGATGACCTTGTGGGTTTTGAGAATTCTGTTTTTCCTGAGGATTTTAATATGATCTACTTGAATCGTGCTCAGTCACTCTACAAAGGACAGAAAGGAATGATTTTAAGGATCTGGGGAGGGGAGGATCCCATCTACGTCGTGGGATATCTTACCAGTCAACCCAAGCGGCCCATAACCCTGAAGCTCTGGAGGCAGGACCCGCGCCAGCCGCAGCCCAGGGGAGGAAAGCTGGGCGGGCACCAGGGAGAGGTGGGGACACCTTCCGCAGGCTGGGATTCGCCTCTGACAGCCGTGGGGCCCGGGGACTGCCTTGTTCCTCTGAGCCTCGGCTCCCTCAGCTGTAAACAGGGTCACTTGTTCCTACCAACCCCAGGACAGCAGCACGAAGGCAGGATGAAACGACGAGGTGATGTCCTCCGCGACCTGTGAGCAGTCGTGTGGACGTGACCATTAAAATAGGGTCTCCCATCCCGGGCACCTCCTGGAGCCTCGGCTTCCCTCTTTGTGAAGTGGTGATTGGCAGATCCCTCGGTCAGGCGGTCCTCTCTCCTGACTGTGGCGCAGTCGCCCGGGCATTGGCTCAGGGCCCCCCAGTCCAGTATGACCTCATCTGAGCTAGTCGGAGCGTGAAGACCCTACTTCCAAGGAAGTTCTCATTCTGAGGCTCTGGGTGACCCTGGGTGACCTGTTCTGCCCAGCACAGCCATCATCCTCACTCAGACATTATGATAGACACTATCAAAAGGTTCATCAACACCATTCTGATCCATCTCCCCCTTTCACATTTTTAGACACATTCCAGCTGGTGATGGCCGTGTGACATAATTTTGATCAATGAGGTAGAAACAAAACCTGTAAGAAGGACTTCCACAAGAAAAAAAGACAAGATTTGGGAGAAGGTTTTGGGTTCACCTGGAGTGTAAGTGTGATTTCTGGAAGTACAGTGGCCATTTTGTAACCATGAGGATAAACCTCCTTGTCAGTGGCAAAAAATACAATGCTATAGAAAGCCTGAGTCCCTTATAGCGTCGTGGCCAGCTGCCCCATCCTTGAGAAGCCTGCCTCCAAAAGTCTTCTTAGAAGATAAAAATAAACCGGTATGTATTCAAGCCCCCATCTTAAGGTTGCCTGTTATTTGCAACTGAACACATTGTGAATTGAGTCAGACAGGGATTGCGCTAGCCTAGCCAGCATGTCGTTGGCTCTGAGGTTAGAGCCAACAGGCTGTAGATGGGTGATACACATTGATTTAGTAAATGAGTTCTGCCCCAAAGAAGACCTCTTCTCGCAAGCACAGAGCTTATCTTGTGAGGCAGAACCCATCAGTGGCCAGCTGGGGACTTGAGACGTAGCTGGGGTATCTGCTCAGCTCTTAAGATCCCCGCACTGAGAGAAATGCCTGTTGATTGAATTTCACAAGGTCGCAATGTGCTGCTGGCCATCTGGACTCCAAAGACCCGAGCCCCATATGACCATGTGAGTGCAGGAGCCTCCCGTCCATTAGAGTCGTCCAGAGGAGCCGGCTGCCACTCTCCCTGCCTCCGTGGATTAGATCACTGAGTAAAGAGGGTCACTGACCCACAGGCCCCCTCTTCCCATTACGTGCCTGGCGCGGCTCCCGGAGAGGAAGC